GGGGGATCATTGTATATAGTCAAAAGTATCAGTCAAAATGTATTCGTATAATTTTATATTTTCTATTTCTAACATGCGAACGGGAAAACACTGGGCTTACGAAATTAGGGAATAAAACTAACGTTTGTAGGCCTGTGACAATTGTAAAATTTCCACTTTAGGCTAAACTAATCGTTTCATAATACACGCTTCCGGAAAGTACGTCACTTTGGCTATAAAGCCTCGTTTTCGTGATTGACACGCGGCCTTTAACTGATGTCACATACACGAAAACGAGGCTCTATAGCCAAAGTGACGTACTTTCCGGAAGCGTGTATTATAAAGCACCCTATGGCCTATAGAATTTTCTTTTGTGCGAATATTATAGGTCGGCGCATCTTTTTCGATCAGCGAGCACCTTGCATTACCTGTAGACTGTAGTGATGAATCGCGCTATCCTTATTTTTGAAATGCGAAATTTTTACACGTTTTTATTCGGGTACATATACGCCGGGATAGGAATACAATATTAAGCATTTTTCATATGCGTGTAATTAAGCACGGAAAAGTTTAAATCCCTTTAAATTTTACTTATGAAATAAATAATCGAATAAAAGGAAAGAATTTTAGTTTTCTGTATATCATCTAATTTGTATTTGTTGAGGTAATTAGTGGCTAATATAAAATGTAGGGGCTGATTATACATGGGGAGCTTATGCAGCCCGACCTGAGTTTCAACCCGCGGTTTCCCTGGCAGACATTCCAGCCCGGTCGATAAGGATAAAATCCTATCGAAACACAGCAAGCAATTACATGACAGAAATTTCAGCCCGGGATAAGAGTTTCAGTCTGGGATGAAAGTTTCAGTCCGGGATGAGAGTTTCAGCCCGGGCTGAAATTCCAGCCCGGTTGAAGCTACCATGCAGGCTGCAAGTTTCAGCCCGGTTGACTGCATGGCTGAAAAATCGTCATGTAATCGACGGGAAATTTCAGCCCGGACTAAAAAAAAAAGCGTTTTTAAACACTTAAAAGTGGCTTTATTTCGTTTGTTCTTATCCTACAAAAACTATAGTCTATATTCCTTTGTGTCGGTATCGACCAAACGTCAAAACAAAAAAAACAAGAAACTTTTCTACTCACCATCCTTCTGTCCAAAGCAAACTCGGCTGCAGACGAAGATCAAGACAGTGCAGAAAAACATTTTCTTCAAATGTATAAAAATTTTCTTCAAATTCGGCTTCTATGCACCTTCAGCTGTGCTACTCTGAAGTACTTTGAACTGATGCTCGCGGTTATATATATTAATTGTAATGAGAAGGCGCGAACAAAACGGCAAACGCACTTGGAAATATTTGGCAGATACAAGAACTTCATGAAGGTAGTGTCAATAACGCGCTGTAATGCCAAGGTACTGTTTACAAACGAATAGGCAGAGACGCTAAATACAAATAATATGAGACGTGATCAATTATAGGATGCAAAATATACCGATAAACTGACATTTACAAACTACGCGGACTATCAACTGAAACGACTTGAAAGTTGTTCCTCTTTTTACTATATGAAAGTCTGACCAAAGGTGAAATTGCTGCTTTTGTAAATTTTATGTTGAAATAAGTTTTCCCAATAAGAAAGTTCAACTTTTCAGTCGAGAAAAAATTATCCTTATTTTAAAATATTTTGTTCGTAATTCTATTCACTGAAGGCGGTCATTATGTTCAAAATTTATTAAAACCGATCCCTTAGGTAGTACAGTAGTAATTGGCATGTAGTAAAACACTGACTACCGGAACACCGGAACACCACCTAACCCTAACCCTAACCCTAACCCCAACCCCCAACCCTAACCCCAAACCCTAACCAAAATGGTTATTGCACTGCTGGTATACTCAGATCGTCATTCCCGCATAGTGGGTGTAATTCTTCCCACAAATCAGGCCGCAACTCAACCAATACAATAAACTGTAGTCTGCAAGCGGGCTGTTCAGCACACCACATGAGTGCAATTCTTTCTAAAAATCAGGTTGAAAACTTAGGCAGTATTTAATATAAACTTAGTTGCTGCTTGGCTTACTGATTTTTCAGTCATTACTTCAGTCTAACAGGAAGACCAAAATATTTCTTTTTCAATCGTTAAGACTGCTTTCCAATCTGAAAGATGGTAAAGCACTCTAAAGTAGTCGATTGAAAAGAGTTTGTGTAGTTATTCAATACATTGAATTGAAAACAGCATGTTTCCGCTAGCCTGCGAACAGGCTCTCAAGCTGAATTGAGAGCCTGCATCGATAACTAATGAATTTGAATATCTGCCCCGTAACGTTCGTTTTTCCAAATATGGAATGTCTATCCTTATATGGTGTTGTTTACAACTTTCATGCAAACTAAA